ATAATTTCCCGAGTATTAGAAACGCTGACCATAATTAATTTATTCGAGTTTAATATTCTTTTAGATTACCTAATTAAACATTTGTAAGGTTTTTTTAATTATTTTGCTTTCGCGCTGGGCTGGATCTATAAAGACTTTTTTTTTTCACTTTCATTTTTTTTTAGAAGATTTCCTTCTCATTTCATTGAATTCATTTTTTTTTTATTTAGGCGCTGTAAGCCGCAGCAATTGTTTAGTACCTTGTGATAAAAAAAGTTTAAGTTTAATTTATGTCAAAAAATTAAAATAAATTAAAATTATAATTTTTAAACATACATTTTATATTTGGAAGAATGATTATGCAGACCACCACAACAATTACGAGAATATTTATGAGGAACACCACCCATCGAAGTTTCTCATCTCGTTGAGCAAATTAACGTATAATATTCTTTGGTAATGATTTTGCTGCTGCTGCGATAACATCCGTTTTTTGCGTCTTTGTAGTGGAAGATGACATTGTCTTCGCAATATTACGCATTAATACAGGAGCTTCTTGGTTATCATTATCATCAGCTGTGCTGTATACTTTTCTTTAATATCGTTATCTGTGGATGTTCCAAAATGTTCAAGTTGATCATTTGCTTCCATTAAATTCTCTTTATTAGATGATTTTTCTTGCATAATCGAAGAAGGATCGGTTTCAATATCATCAAAGCTATTAGCCGAATTCGATAAAAATGAAGGTTTCCTTGCTGTATAGGAAGATGATGGTCTAGATAACCTTGGAAGTTTCGGGCTAACTTTTAAAATAAGTTTTCATTGTGCTCTGTTTAATTTCGGTCATTTTCTGGTTGATTTATTGTCAATTTTGGAGTTTACATGAAGAAAGAATGTCTTTGTAACTTTATAACTATTTTTTGGATCGACGTTAACGTTTGTTTTCAACACTCCTCGTTCTTAGTTTCAAAATATTTACGAAATTTGGATTATCTGAAAAAATATCTAGTTTAAAAACAGAGATAAATATATATATATCTATATTAAAACATTAAATATATCAACATTATTTGAAGAAAATGATGCTTACTTGACATGATCAATGGATTTAATACTGTTTGGGTCCTTTATACATAGCAAGCGCATAATATTTCATGTTTTGGTACTCTTCATACGGATAAGTTGTCTCCCAAGTCTTGTTCTAGCAAAACAGACTATGATTTTTCGTACATTTGTCAATGTTACAATTATGATCTGTTTCCATCCACTCATAAAGTTGTTTATAATTTAGATCCTCGTTATTTATGTAGAATAATGCAAGCGTGTTTGACTTTTTAATCCTTATTTTCTCGTTCATTTTTTTTTAATACTCATTTCGTCATTGTTCAATAATAAACTTGGCTAATCACATCGTAATGCTAACAATTTGGAATTTGACCTTGGATCGAGCCAAAGTCAGTTCTTTCGTTTTTGAATTGAGCTTCCATTTTTTAACGTTGAAA